ATATGGTTCATGGGTCACGAAGAGTCGGACACGACTTAACGACTGAACAACAACAAATAACAAAAGTCTGGAGCACTTGCTAGGCCTTATTTTTAAATCACTGATAACTATAGCTCAGAAACTGAACAAGTTAAAGACTGTATGATTAATGGAGGAAAAATTTAGATACAATAATTGATATATAACAATAAGAAATTCATACTGAATATTATACTTAGAGAAAATTGGTATAAGATGCTTTACTGCTAGTATATTATTTCAGTACTAAAATGGCCAGCTCATTCTCTAAAAATTATTAAAATGTAACAACCAGTTTAGAATATTTTTCTATATTTTGTAGCAATGTTGTAAAGTTCAACAATTATGGAAAGTGATTTAAATAGATTGAAGCACATTTTAAAAGCTGAATCCTTTCCAATCTATTTTTTATTTATTTATATATATATCAAAGTTGTCACTCCCCATCTCGTTGAACAACTCTAATATTATTAGAACTTACATTCCCACAAAGTATACTGAATTAGCTTTGTACATGGTATCTTCTGCCAGGATACTCTACACTTCCTATTGGGTAATAGGAATAAAATGGGTAATTAAACTCTGGGAATATGCCTCAATGTTGAACACAACTTGTATTTCAAAAGTAAGTCTGACAAAGAGTTTAATTAGGTTGGAAAACCATTTTTAAATTATAATTCTACGTAGGGGTTGGTACCACATCTGAAATTTGGGTTTCTCTTAACATAAGGTCTGCAATTACCTGGGTGGAAATTACAGTAATTCTTAATATCAGTGCTGATATTAATTTATACTGTGCTGATTATTGCTGTTGATATTCATATATTACTTGGATCTTAACAGTGATTGTAGTTTTAAAATTATACAGCACATTCAGTTATTTAAAACTAAACAATGGAACACCGAATTTTTAAACTTAATTCATGATGCTTGAAAATTCCCTGTTCATCCACTTTGCACCTTATTTTTCCTTTTTTTTCTTTTTCTCCATCTTTTTTCTTTTTCTTTTCTAAAAAATGATTAACTTCTTAAATTATATTTTTATTAAACAATGAAAACACAGTAAAAGCAACAATTTTGTATTACCTCTTGTAGAAAAATGCAATTGGCCATTTGGTTTAAAAAAAAAACAACTCAGCCCTAAAAAACTACATTTGGCAAGAGTAAATCACTAGAATGAACATATAATTGAATATGCATTTTTAAACAGGATGCGAATTGTCTCAGTGAAACTATTTTTCACAACATTGCTGCAAACAGCATATCAGAAATACCAAGCCAATTATTTCTCTGTGTCCCTGAATCTTTGCCAAAGAACATACTTGTAGATGCAAGTTTTAATCAGGAAGCTAAGTGACTCAAGTGTCTGAGATACGGAAATCTTTTGAAGGACTTGAACATCTAAATAACTTTGCTATAAATCATTTATATTGGTATCATGAATTTAAATACTAGTATCTTTTAATTACTTTTTTCTCTTAAATCTTCACAAATCTTCACCTGAAGAAGACATTATCCTTACAGAATGCATTCTTCATCTATCATATGCACTTCAAAAGTTAGCAATACACAATAGACAACAATAACCAAGGCTAACACTTTATCATCCAGAGTGCTATATAGTAGTCAAAATATACTCATTTGTTGCTTGTGCAACAAGTACACTCACAACTATACTGCCAAAGCACAATTTGGACCCAGACTTAGAAAAATAAAAGGCTATAGATCCTAGAAGGTGTATCATTCACTGTTTTCAAACTGACAATCTATCTCATAATAGAATGGGGACAGTAAATGAATCAGATTCAAATCTATGCAAAGGAAATCTGTGTATAAATTCTATAAAATCTCATAACATTCCAAATATAACAAAACTTAAATTTTGACATATTACTATTTAATAGACGATACTATCCTGTTTTTTCACAGTAAAAGATACACACTTTTCATATAATCCTATACATGTGTATTTTATGAACTAAGACTGTAAGATCAATTATGCAGTATTTTCTGTTCTCATCTGTTCTTTTCTTACAAGAGAAATGTACTTGAGAAATAAAAAAATAACAGGCATCCACTGAAGTCAGTTTCACTCAAAGTCACAGCATCCAAATAAACATAAGCAGACAAGTTTTCATGCCATGTTCTCCTTTTCCCCTCTCCTCCAGTAGGAGATGAGCAACTTTGAACAACTCTGTAAAAACCCAGCAAGCTTGCCAGTTTGTACAAATACAATCCAGTATATCATAATAGTAAACATAGCTTATGGAAAACTGCAACTTGGAGCACCATTTTCTCCCTTTGTATGTGAAGGGGGAAATCACAATCATGCAACTGAAGTCTCATCCCCATGTTTTTATGACGCTGGCAAAATTTCAAAGATTTTCAAATGGTTAAAACAAAGACTTCTTGGTATATATTTCTAATATTTCCCTAGAAAGTGTTATTGTTATTTGTCTACTGCATTCATATGTAGTTTTAGGATTGTTCATAACTGGGCAGAAAATTGCCATAGGCTTTTATATACTTTTAAATGTATGAGCTACCTTATGCTCCTCTTATAAATGAAGTAAAATATGAGAGTTTTTAAATAATACATATAAATAGGATTTGTCCAGAATAGAGGCTAATTATTACACTAAAACATGCAATAATTCAAAACATTACTGCCCTTTTTCCTCATTATTCCATGATAGCAACAGCCTATGAATAACTTTTCACTTCTTTAGTATGTAATTCATTTCATAACTTCAGACAAGGAAACCCATAATTTGCATAGCTATATTATCTTATGGAAAAAAAGGCTGTGCTAAGTAGATTCAAAAAAGTAATGATGAAAATATGGGTGTTGCTTTATTTGTTGTAAGGGAAGAGTGCTGATTTACCAGCATAAAGGATGCTTGATTACAGAATAGTGCTGGGTGTGGAGGAAAATCCTTGACAAGCTAAATGCTTACAAAGGCACAGAAAATTATTCAAAGGCTGTATTTAATGACAGCAACCTGACATCAATTAATATATTGTGAATGGAAAATGGCTTATGCTACTGAGGCAATTCAGATACATGTATGCGTGCGCGTGTATTATATATATCACACACACATACAGACATACACACATATCTGAATTGCCTCAGTAGCATAAGCCAGTTTACATTCATATATACATACATACAGCTGAATTACATTGGTAGCATAAAGCTACTGACAATGCAAAGCTGTTCACATTGACTCAAAAGTAAATTTTATTGAGTTCAATGGAACTGTCTCCCAAGCAAATTATTATTGGACGGCAGCAACAATATAGTTGGTTAATTTGTAAATTTAATATTAAGTTGAATGTGTGCGTGAAAGTTGATCATTTCCGTACTCAATGAACTTCCAAACAACTAATGAAGAAGGAACTCTTTTTAGTTGTAATACTTCAGACTGGAGGTAGGCACAAATGTGGCTGAATGTTGTAATACACACACAGCAACACAACTTTCCAGCACATAATAGAATTAGATCCATGCATGTGTGAGGGAGATGAGTTCTGATCTACTCTTCTTCCTAGCACCTTGTTTCCTATATATATAGTTTTTTATATAGAAATATTCAACTTGAATTGCTAGAACTCAAAAAAGAGGCTCCAGGAAAAAAAATCTTACAAGGCAAGAGTTCTATAGAAAAGTTAAAAGATGAGTATTCAGGCAGTTTCTCAGGGAGAAAAGATAAAATAAGGAGAAGTGTTCTTTGAAGAACTAATAACAGATGGGATGCCTGGGAATTTGTAACAGCAGTGTATGGAAATACTAAAGTAAAGGTACAGGAGAAACATTAAAGTATTTAATAGAAGCCAATGAATAACAGGGGCATAGATGGCACACTAGGTTTAATCCAGTAAACTGATGCCACAGTAAATCTGTTAGCAGTCTTTAATGTCTTACAAAAGTCATTTGAGAAAAACTTGCTAGAGCAGATGCTGACATGCATGTACGTTCTTTAGAAAACAAGCAACAAATCTATATAGGTCTATTTTTTACATAAGGTTGCATACTTTTAACATTAAAGGCCCTCCTGAACGAAGCTCAACTTCTAATGAGTTACACAAACACTGTCCACAAAGTTTTCTGCCAACAGTATGGAAGTGGTTTCAGAATGCTTTTCTGACTTTCCAGTCTACACTATAGTTCAGGAAATCTCCCATCCAAGTGCTAATCAACTCCAATCCTACTTAGTTTCTAAGCCAGGCACAGCCAGCCATATGCCACCATCAGCTGAGAACTCCACCTATATTTGAAAGTAAATCCTCTGAACTCTCAGAAGCTCATGCAGTCTCCTGATTAGGGACACTGGACTAGAATGAGGGAAAGTCAAGTTCAACTCCATACCCAGACATGAAAAGTCAAGGGAACTGACTCCAGGCCAGTCTCTCTCTCTCAGGTCAACCTACCTCATAAGGTACAATACCTCAAGTTCCTGGAAGAAAGGGGAAATATAAATCCAACTAATAATAATGTCTATAATATAAAAAATTCTCTAAGCAAGCACTCACTGGCCTTGGGGCCACAAAAATTTCTAGAGGTTGGTGCTTTTGGATTTCAGCAAAGCAGCCTTTCTGTCACAAAGCTGTAAGCGAAGGGGGAAGCTGGCAATCTGGGTCCCACAGAGCTGCCCTTCTGGATAATTTATGCCCGATCCTGTACCCAGTAACACGACCCTGCCCGCCGAAATCACTGGGGTGAGACGCCTCTCGAGGACTGCAACTTCCTCTTTACCAGAAGTAACCCCGGGGAGTCCAATGGGATTTTCTAACCACAAAGCATGCACGGGGCCGCAGCCCGAGAGGGACCGTTGCCGCCGGGTCAAGGCCGGCTCTCCCTCTGCCCTCATCCCGGGGCGCGCGCGGGACTTACCAGCTGCCGAGCCACATCGGAAGAAGCCATGACATGAGGGGAGGGGTCACCGCGCGCCAAAGACAATAGGGAGGGAGGGAGGGAGTCAGCGCCGAACTTCCAACTCCAATCCCAACAGCTGGAATGTAACTGGTGGTGATGAGAGGCCGCGTGAAAAGAAGGGCGGGACCAAGGCCTAGCCAATCCCGTTTCGACGGGAGAAGATGCTGCACAAACCGCAAACAAACGTACGGAGAGGAGGGGAACGAGCTGCGCTACCGTCCACGGGGAGAGCGATCTTAATATGGGAGGGCACCGCGAGGGCGTGGCCTCGGGCGAGCGCCTCTACCTTCCTTTCTCAGCAGGGAGCTTCGTTAGAGCCTCTCGAGCGGCGAGATTCATTAAGGGGAGGGGAGGGGAGTTTGAAAACGGCAAATAGGCGCCTCCCTGATTCCCTCGCGGACATCACGTGAGCAAGGAGGGGACGCGCGCCTGGTGGGGTCCAGTAAAGGAGGGAGGACGGAGGAGGAGAAGCCGGACTCCGGCGATGCCGCCGCGCGTCTGATGGCAGCGACGATGCCATGGAGGGCCAGGAGAAGGAGCCGGGAGAGGATTCCGCGCTGAAGGCGGCCGGGCGGAGTCGCCGCCGCCGCCGCCAACTCTCCGTGGGCGCCCATGGCGGCGGCGGCGGCGACTCCGCCCGGCCGCCTTCAGCGCGGAACCCTCTCCCGGCTCCTTCTCCTGCCCCTCCATGGCATCGTCGCTGCCATCAGACGCGCGGCGGCATCGCCGGAGTCCGGCTTCTCCTCCTCCGTCCTCCCTCCTTTACTGGACCCCACCAGGCGCGCGTCCCCTCCTTGC